CATCTTATGGCCTACTTTCTAAGAATATTCCTAGTATCGATTGTCTTGCCCTTAGCTCTGGAAAACAAAGCCTAAGACAAAGACTTAACTATCATTACCTTGTTAGAAAATGCATTTCCAGGGTATAGGAGTGAGGGGAAAAGAGAGGGAGCAAGGGAGAAAAGCCAATACAAGGAAAGGTTTCCATGCTGGCCACTACTTTGTAATATGATTGTTAGCTCATTCATGTTGCATTATTTTTCCAGAATCTACATAAATGACTGAATATTAGGGTCTTTTACCTGGAAAAGAGAAGGTAAAGAATTCATCCAATCTCTCTCGTCTCCTGTTAATTTAAGTTAGACTTCATGGGAAATTGATTCCCTCGCACACAGGGTTTGCACATAAATGAGGGGGCCAGGAAGATACTAGTACACTTCATACCTCAGCATCAACATGAAAATCTAGGACAGGTGGCAAGATGCTACCCCTCCTTTTTTACCTAATAAGAGACCAATGACCATGGAGTGCTTCTGACCAGTCTATGGACAATGTACATTAAAGAGTTTGTGTGTCCTCTGCTTCATATTTGATATCAGAGGGCTGAAACCTCCACCCTCAAATAGCTGCTATTTTCTGAGCGTGGATAAGGATGAACCTCAGTTGCACCTCTGTATGTTTCTCCTTTGATAAATATTCATGGCTCCTTCTCTAGCTTATTGAATATATGTATTTGGCCACCTTGCTCAGCATAAATTCCTATTCCCTTTGCCTCTCTCTAGCAGTATCTGTTTCTGGTTCTGTCTAGAGGCTGTGTTTCCTAGCCTGTCAGAATGGCCACCTTGCAGACTACAACTCTTTATAACAAATAAAGCCTCTTCTTTTTTGAATTTATATTTTTTTTAAGTTAGCAGTCTGAAACAAGTGGGCAAATGTCCACAGACAGATGAAGCCAAAAGATATAATGTGACACTTACATATTCAATTTTTTAAAATTCTGATTATTTCAGAAAAGAGCGCATAATTGCATTTTTTGTAATTAGTGCTGATGACATTTATCTATTGATATTTAAACTATGTTAGCTGTAATAACTGAATTTACATTAACTTCTCATCGAGTGGTATACTTTGAACTATTTTTCTCTAATCTTTGTGTTCAGTAATTTGCAATCTGTACTACGCTTTGCTTGCTACTGTAATCAGTAGTAGTTTTAAAAGAATGGAGCATTTTAAAATTTTGCTATGGGCTTCTTTATATATTTAATACAATTCTAGATTATGTATTTTTTCAGCTTCAAATGTAACACAGAAATGTAATTTTAACCTCTATCTATGTAAAACAAGAAATGTAATGTGCTTTTAGTGACCCATCTCTGCACTTACAGATCTTTCTTAATTTATTATGGGGTATAGATTATAGGTTAGAGGTATAGCTTATTAAGCTTTAATTATTTTTTAAAATTATATTCTTTCTCAAGTGACATTTATTACATTATATTAAATTATGCTAACATTTGTACAGAAATTAATTGAATTCACTCATATCAATGCTCACCATAAGAACATTTATACCAAATTTTCTGGTTTTTCTCAATTTTAATTAACTTTTAGTCGCCTGGATTATTTGCTTGAGTAAACTTTTCAGGGGTCTATGTTAGTGCTATAATTTATGAACCACTGCATATCAGAAAATAAAAAAAAAAGAATCAGTTGCCACTTGCTACTTGGCCTTGTCACCCTGCAGAAAAAGGAAAAGGAAAATAAAAATCTCATGAAACACCTTCTATTAACTTTTTGTATTTGGTGTTGCAAAGGTTAAATTTTAAAGCCAGCCTGGAATGTATGTTAGTTTTCTTGTATTTTTTTCTGGTTTCTAGGTAACCTATATATTTGGAAACCCAGGTTTTAATAATTTATTTGTTCGTAACATTTCTAAAAGTTTATCAGGATATGTGTTACTAAATAATTTTAATTAGATTGCCTGCTTCAGTTCTGCATGTTTTAAAACAATTTATTCTGCTTCTTATAGCAAAACCATTTCAAGAAGTGTTTTAGGATAATTCTCCCCTTCTCTTAAGATGAAGAATTTCATCCATAAGTCACAGTTTGTTTGCATCTGCTTTCCTTATTCAAGATAGGTGTTATTTATTCACTTGTATATTGTTCTGTGTGTTCATCCTTGAATAAAGATTGCTCACTCCTACTTAATAGGCCTGGTAATATCCACAAAGATAGTGAAATATTTGGGAATATAGTTAACCAAAGAGCTGAAAGATCTATATAAGAACTACAAAACACTGCTCAAATAAATCAGAGATGATACAAATAAATGGAAAAACTTCATGCTCATGAGTTGGAAAAATCAATATTTTTAAAACGTCCTACTGCCCAAAGCAATTTACAGATTCAATGCTATTTCTATCAAACTACCAGCATCATTCTTTACAGAATTAGAAAAGAGCATTTTAAAATTCTTTTAAAAAAGAGCCCAAATAGCCAAAGCAATGCTAAGCAAAAAGAACAAAACCAGAGGCATCACGTTACCCAACTTCAAACTATACTGTAAAGCCACAGTAACTAAAAAAGGTTGGTACTGGTATAAAGCCATATACCTACAACCATCCGAGCTTCAACAAGTCCAGCAAAAACAGGCAATGGAAAAAGGAATCTTTATTTAACAAATGATGCTGGGATAACTGGTTAGCCATATGCAGAAGATTGAAGCTGTACCCCTACGTTTCACCAAAACAAAAATTAACTCAAAATAGATTAAATATTTCTCAAACTATAAAAATTCAGGAAGACAACCTAGGAAATATTCTCAACATAGGCCATGGTGAAAATTTTCTGGCTAAGTCTCCAAAAGCAATTGCAACGAAAACAAAAATAGACAAGTAGGAACTAATTAAACTGAAGAGTTTCTGCATAAGAAAAGAAAATATCAACAAAGTAAAGAGACAACCTATAGAAGTGGGGGAGATATTTGCAAACTATGGATCTGACAAAGGCCTAATACCCAGAATATGTAGGGAACTTAAACAAATAAACAAGCAAAAGCCAAATAACCCCTATGAAAAAAACGGGCAAAGAACATGAACAGACACTATTCAAAAGAATACATGCAAGTGGCCAACAAATAAATACAAGTGATGAAAAAATGGTCATCATGATTAATCATCAGAGAAATGGAAATCATAACCACAGTGAGATACCATCTCACATCAGTTGGAATGGCTATTACTAAAAAGTCAAAAAACAACAGATGTGGCAAAAAGAGAATGCTTATACACAGTTGAAGGAATATGAATTAGTCCAGCTGCTGTGGAAAACACTCTGGAGATTTCTCAAAGAACTTAAAACAGAGCTACCATTTGATCCAGCAATCCCATCACTGGGTATACACCCAAAAGAAAATTAATCATTCTACCAGAAAAACACAGGCACTCGTATGTTCATTGTTACACTATTCACAATAGCAAAGACAGGGAATCAACCCAGGTGCCCATCAACAGTAGACTGGATAAAGGATATGTGGTACATATACACAATGGAACACTACACATGCATTAAAATGAATGAAATCATGTTTTTGCAGCAACATGGATGGAGCTGGAGGTCATAATCCTAAACAAATTGATGCAGAAATAGAAAAACAAATACTTCATGTCCCTACTTGTAAGTGGGAGCTGAAAACATGAACTAAGTATGGGAACAACTAGACACTGTGGACTACTAGAGGGTAGAGAGAATGGTGAGTGGGTTAAAAACACTAGCTATTGGGTACTATGTTCACTACCTGGATGATAGGATACATACTCCAAACCTTAGCGTCACATAATATTCCCATGTCACAAATCTACACGTGTACTCCCTGTAACTAAAAGTTGAAATGAAAAAAAAAAGGGATATAGGCTTCTGTAGGTATCTCTCACTGCCTACTTAAGTGTTGACAGAAGCCTCCTTGTAGTCTTAAAGCAGAAGGCAGATTAATGCACGTAACTTTCTGAACAATTTCTAGCTTTAAGTATGCTTGACTATAGTGAAAAGGAATCCTAATCTGTTGCCAGCTTCTGTCTTCTAGGATGATACTTTATTTCTGGATCATTCAGATTGTTGTCTTTAAATTTCTTCCCCCCACCCCCCGAAACAGTATTTGAGAATCTTATATACCTCACAAGCATTGCTTATAAGTACTGTCCTTGCCTACAGTTGATATCACATTGCAAGTTTCCATGTAACATTTTTCCCAACCCCTCTTTATTCATATTGTTTTACAAGGAACCACATTTTCTGTGTGTTTGATGGTTAACAGAGGGTAGTAAATCTAAGGAGGCAATGTTCCTAGCTACCACTAAAATTAAATTATGTTTCAGCAAATGGGTAGCTGTTTGAATTTGTGATTGGCAAAATCCCTAAATCTCTATAATTGGGATGGGTAGTGGGTCAAAAATGCAGCCTTGTTCAGCCTTCTTCCTCCCAAGTGCTGCTCACATTTGAGGGGCAAGATATGCAAAGGCCTCCAATTATTTGTCAGTCCAGCCAGTTCCCATAGAAACAGCATCCAGACTTTGAGAAGTTGTTTTCCTTCTTTTCAAGTATTGTTCTAACTCAGTAACTTTTCATCTTCCTTCATTTCAATGAGAGGATGTGATCGGGTGGCTTACGTGATGTTTAAAGTGACCATTTTTATTATCAAGGCAGACAGCATCTGCATTGACTTTGTACAAAAATGGCACTTTAGGGCTTAAATTACTAATATGTGAAATGGTTATATTACTCTCCCTCCCAAATTAAAGATCACTGGCTATTAATTGTTCTCAATATTCAGAGTGGCTGACAGCTAGAGCAGCAGTCCAAGAGTGAGAAAGAAGGTCATTGCTTGGCTTCTTGGATTTAAAGGAGGAGTTAGAGATAAGTAGCATTGGGTGCCCAGAAAGTCATGGTCCCCTTCAGGCTCCTTGAGTACATTTGTGTGCATACATACGAACACATGACAAACATCATCACTGTAACACTGAGAAAATAACAGGATTCATCTCCTTTATTCATAAAATTTGAAAGTTAAAATGTATTTAACAGTTTGATAACTAAAAGATCATAAAAGATCAGCTTCAAAATCACAATGAAATAAGTGATTTTCTTTTTTCTGAGAGTTGATTATGTTAAGTATCTGTGGGTCCCTCAGATTAATCCTTTAAAATGGATACTTTTACCAATTTAGTGTATATTGTATGAATTTTGATGCATTTAAGCATATGACATGGAAGTCTGTTTTGGCAGATTAACCTTATAATAATAGCAATGCTTTCATAGGAGGAAATGTGAAGGTAGGGAGTCTAGGCCCCTTCTATCTTTTTGCTCCACCATCTTTAAAGGAAAGCTTTTATCTTCATGTTTGTCAAATAGCAGCAAGATGGCTTCTCTTTCATCAGCTGTGCTATAGGCTGGAGAAACAGAAAGAGACAAAGGGTTGTCTATATTAGAAAAGCAAAGACATTCTAAGAAGCCCCTAATGGGTCCATACCTAGTCTCACTGCCTATGCTTATATTATTACATGAGCACGCCTGGTGCCAGGGAGTCTCAGTAGGTGAATATTTTATCTGGTATAAAATTTGAGCAGAAAGGAGCTCTGTCACTAAGAAGGAAGTAGAGAATAGTTTTGGGGTAGGAAATTAGTACTGTCTAAAGATTCATTGGTCTCAGAATGCTATATAACCACAGTCAGTATTTCTAGGCATTTTCAGGATAAAGTTGACTGTAGATACCTATTCAATTTTGCTATTTTGGAGGGTTTTCTTTTTTTATGGATAGCTGTTGCAACAAACATTTTTATGTACTTTATTCTTTTCATCATATGAGTGAGAAGGAGGTCATTCTAGGCCATTAATAACTTTTGTGTACTAGAATATTCTTTCTTACATGCTTCATTTAAATGGTGGCTTTACAGTCCATGTTATGACCAATACTAATCTCTTTTGGACAACACTTAAATTCTAAGTTGCAGCACGTATGCCCAAAATCTAAGAATGTTTTGAGTGAATTACCTGTATCAGTTTCAAATGACTTTTTTTTATTTTTTTTTCCCTGCCTCAGTCTGCCAAGTAGCTGGGACTACAGGCATGTACCACCATGCCTGGCTAATTTTTGTATTTTTATAGAGACAGGGTATCACCTTGTTGGCTAGGCTGGTCTTGAACTCCTGACCTCAGGTGATCGGCCCACCTCGGCCTCCCAAAGAGCTGGGATTACATACAGGTGTGAGCCACTGCACCCTGCCCCTTTTCCTACCATTTTGAAGTGCTCCTTTATCATACACTGAATTTCCATTTATACATTAGTCAGTTCTATTTGTCTATTTATATACCAATACTACCATTGCCATAGCTTTATAGGATAATTTGATAACCAAGAAGACAATTCTACCTACGTTGTCCCTCTCTTTAAAAAAGAATCGTAGTGATTGTATATATTCTCTTGTGATGGATTTTATTTATTTATTTATTTATTTATTTTTTAATTTTTTTATTATACTTTAAGTTCTAGGGTACATGTGGATAACGTGCAGGAAACAACAGGTGCTGGAGAGGATGTGGAGAAATAGGAACACTTTTACACTGTTGGTGGGATTGTAAACTAGTTCAACCATTATGAAAAACAGTGTGGCGATTCCTCAAGGATCTAGAACTAGATGTACCATATGACCCAGCCATCCCATTACTGGGTATATACCCAAAGGATTATAAATCATGCTGCTATAAAGACACATGCACACGTATGTTTACTGCAGCACTATTCACAATAGCAAAGACTTGGAATCAACCCAAATGTCCATCAGTGACAGACTGGATTAAGAAAATGTGGCACATATACACCATGGAATACTATGCAGCCATAAAAAAGGATGAGTTTGTGTCCTTTGTAGGGACATGGATGCAGCTGGAAACCATCATTCTCAGCAAACTATCGCAAGAACAGAAAACCAAACACCGCATGTTCTCACTCATAGGTGGGAACTGAACAATGAGATCACTTGGACTCGGGAAGGGGAACATCACACACTGGGGCCTATCACGGGGAGGGGGGATGGGGGAGGGATTGCATTGGGAGTTAAACCTGATGTAAATGACGAGTTGATGGGTGCTGACGAGTTGATGGGTGCAGCACGCCAACATGGCACAGGTATGCATATGTATCAAATGACTTTTTTTTAATGCCCACATGCTGACAATAGAACACTGAATCTCTAAGCTAACTGTAAAGAAGCTGTTTTTGAATATCTCTCCTAGCCTTAACATCTAAAATTCAGTATTCGATAGATGACTTTTAAGATCTTAAAATTGTTACCTCTTGAATATTTTACACACTTACAAAAATATTTATTATATTCTATATTCCACTAAAATGCAAATCCTAGGTTCTCTACATTTCTCAAAATCAGTCTTAATATTGATAATTAAGATGGTGAGATTTTTCAATGACATTTAGGTTATTGAAAAGAGGAAGAAAAAGAGCAGGAAAAGAGACGAGAAAGTAAAAATAGGGTATCTGTTCTAATGTTCTCTTTAAGTGATACTCTTATGTGAACACAGTACAATTTCCTGAATGCAAATCTAATAGTAATTCATATGTAATGTAATTTGTTATTACAGATTTACATCCAATTTCAAATCCTCTGTGAATTCAATTAGAATTAATTCTATCTCATCTTACATATCTTATTGAATACATTTTTCAAATATAATTTTGATTCTGTTGATTTGAGATGATTTGTGTTTCATAAACATTTGCATGCAAGTATGATATATGACAGGGTGTCACATATATCACGTGATACATGAGGTTTAGATAAAATAAGATATTCTCTAATTATGAAAGAAAACATGTAGAATATTGCATATAAAGTCCTTACCTTATTTGCTTACAGCTACAGCATTGAAGAGAAAAGCATACAGAGATTCAATCAAGAAAATAACCAAATAGACATTTAAAACAAAGAAACCCTGCAAAAGACAATGTGCTCCATATGATACACACACATACGGATAAATGTATATTTTAGTTATATGATATATAGGCATATAAATATATGAAGGTATTCTAAAGAACATAATTGGCAACATTAAACCCTAAGTAACTGTTTTCTCTCATAATGTCCCTTCAAATCTGCTCTGTAGGGTGATACTCCTCCCCCTAGGTAAAATCTTGGTCAGTTCTCCATAGCTATAATAAGTAATAACATCTTCCTGGTACTGTAGTCACTTAAACTACTCCAGTTTTGAAACTGATAGGTATAGCCAGAGCAGAATAAAAACTCCAACTTTCACTCACAATTAAGGCCTCTGCACTTGCCTCATCTGCCATGCTACAGAAGGCTGACCTACAGTATGAAAGTAGGGTCTAGACAGATACTTTTATATTTTCTCAATGTATCATTCTTCACCTCCTCAGTTGTTAACTTACATGGTTTATGATGACACCAGGGTTCAAGATGGTGAAGGGAAGAGATGTGGGGGCACAAGAAAGCGCGTTCGTGCTGGTGCTTTGTGAGCCGCCGTTGTTGCTGCCTGGGTTTGGCAGGGGTCAAAGTTAATACTGGATCTTCTTTGCCTTGCAGAGTGTTTCAGTTCCTTCAGCATTCTTCAGACCATCCATTCCTCTCCCCATTCTTTGCTAGGGATCCCTTCCTTGCCTGCATTTCACTGATGTGGGTCTCAGCAGTCTATCTCTCCATAGACTCTATCTGTTGGGATTCTACTCTCTTTTAGGGGCCCTGTAGGAAAAAGTCAATTTAGGATGACTCCAGGCCAGATTTCAATCACATTTGTGTGGTCCATGCCTTCTCTATATATCTTTGGTTCACGTTCCATTGTAATTTACTCCTCAAAATGAAGCCGTCTATGCTATAGTCACAAGTGCTCTTCTTCCGGTGGAGACAGATGTGTTTTAATTAATAAAATCAAAATTTAAAGTATCACTAATTAATAGTTTTTTAATCTTGTAATCATGGAAACAAAACATTAAAAACGATCAAAAACTATCATGTGTGGTGGACACACTTACTGATGTTAAAAACACTGGGGATCATCAAAATAGGCAAATAACTTCCTTTTACAAATAAAAAGCAAAATAGGCAAATAACTTCCTTTTACAAATACAAATCAATTTAGTAAAAGTTGTTACTGGCCACGGGCAGACCAAAGGCTTTTATGATGCACTCAAGAGAGGCTGGGGTCTGGAGTCAAACCCAACGAGGTTTGAACCTTCTCTCTGCTATGTATTAGTTATAAGAAGTTGGTCAAGTTGAACAAATTATGTAATCTCAGTTTCTTCTATGAAATGGGGATAATATTATATATGACTATTTTCTTGTTTTGATGATCAAATAAAATGTAACACATATGGCATCTGTTGCACAAAAGCTTCTAAATAATTATTATTTGCACTGTTCAATACTGGTCAAATTATTTTTTTATAATAATTGTGGCCTCTTCCAATATACATGCATATTTTTCAAGTTATTAAATTATTACTATGCAATAGTTACCAAGTATATATATGATGCATTATTAAAATAAGAACCTTTGTTTTGTTATGCTATCCAAAACAGACTTTATGCCTTTTTTTTTTAGATAAAGCAAATAAACCAGTAAAAACAGGCTACTATTTCTATTAAATTTATATATTTGGGGTTAGTAAACGAAGTAGAGAAGCTCTGGCTTTTCATGAAATAGGGCGAGATGGACCATTACAGAAAAGTCTGCCACGTCCAATGTCTTGCTGGGAGAAAACTCTAAGAATTCAGACACATAGTCACAAAGCTTTTTATGTTGCAAATCTTGTTTATTTAGATATTCACAACTCCTCATTATCTTTGAACAAGTTATCCATGCTTGTAGCCAAGCAATAGTTAAGCTATTGCTAAACAGAGTCCCCAGAATTGCATCTGTAGCTACTGGATTCACCCAAAGGGAGGATACTAGTATTGTTCCCACATAGATAGTGTCACTATTTCCTTCATTGTTTATAACCCCCATATACATATATATATGTGTGTGTACATATATATGCATTTATTTCAAAATTCTCTCTGTAATGAATGCTTTGATTTTTCCATGTGGGATGAGCTTTTGTCATCCGATTGTTCTACTCCAACACAAATCCAAAACAGCACAGCAAAGATCTACTATAAAATATCTAGAACACAGCTCTAGATAATCTCTCTAATATCTAGAATTCCAAGATATGTTATCTTTATTAATGGGATCTATTTAAGATTGCTCTTTTCTAGATCAGTATTATTACTATCTATGTCCACTGTATACAGACAATGTATATTTTTCCTTCAAAAACATGAAAAGGGAATTGTGGTTTATTGAAAGTATTAGTATGAACTCATTAATTTAATATGTTTAAATGTACTTAATATATTACATATACATACATTCAAATATTTCTTCTTACATTTCTTAGTTCTGTCTACTGAAAGAGACTAGAAACAATGGCCAATAGCAATCTCAAGTCAAATATCCAGATATTGGTTTCTAAATATAATTTGTCACTAGAAAGAACCAAGGCTCCTTGAAGGAAAGGCAGATTCCAGAGCTGGGGAAGAGAAATAACAAAATAATATGGAACATCTTGTACATTAGAAAACAAGGAAGTACTTAAAGAATAAGAGGGGTGGCTGGGTGTGGCAGTTCACGCCTGTAATCCCAGCACTTTGGGAAGCCGAGGCAGTGGATCATTTGAGGTCAGGAGATCGAGACCAGCCTGATCAACCTGGTGAAACCCTGTCTCTACTAAAAATAATGAATGTCTCAAACATAATTCTACTTCTATAACTTAAAAAGAAATAATGAATTCAACGAATTAGTAACTGGCTCTCAATGCCAATATATTTAAAAGTAGGCTGAAAATGTATCATAAGGTATACTATATGAAAAGTTGAATTTAAAATTGTATGTCAATAATTACTCAATCTTTACACAATATTTCCATGAGCTTAGTTCACATTAAATATGAACTATCGTATTTAATATTTTATTGTTTTACATTAAATGATGGTATTATTCTAATGGCTATTGGCTTTTAACTAGAACAGATATATCATGGAAACTTCTGAAGATAAATTCTATCTTATGTTAAATCATAATAACAAAAATATATTATATTCACTTATTTAAAAATGATTTGTTGAGTAACTGCTACTAATACTAAATACTACATAGTAATAGCACTCTGTAGTACTTTTAATATGTTGGACCACATGTGCCCAGAGATGAATTAATAATGTCTCTCTCCTAAAGAACCTCACCAGTGATAAAAGCAGACATGTAAATCAGTAATTGCAAAGCAATGTGTCAAATGCACAAGACAATGGCAGCTTAAAAACTGAACAATTCAGTGGGTCACAGGCAGGAGACAGTGAGAAGCGGCCTCCTAAAGGAGAAGATGCTTGAAGGGGACTTTCAAAGATGAGTTCGTTATCAGGAAAGAAAGAATGCATGAGAAGAATATTAAACAATGAAAACAGCATACGCAAAGTCACAAATGCATGGATTAGCTCAATATATGGTGGGAATGGGTTAGGAAAGTTTTAAATTTTAAGTAGGAACCAAATTGTGGAGGCCCTTATGAATCAACCTAAGTAGTAGTATAATTGAATGCATAAAATAATCAAAGTGAAAATTACCTACTCTCTGGCAAGCCAACTTCCCACTTCAGGACATAGAGTAGGTAATGTTCACTTTCATTCTTGTATGCATGAAAAGAAGTTCATTTCTCCTGGGCCTGAAAAGTCTTTCCCCCAGATTTTTGTATGACTGGATACTATTCATTATTCAAGTCCTGGCCTGAAACACTTCCTAAGAGAAGCCCTCCCTTACCATCCAGCTAAAGTAGCACCACACTATCATATCCACCTGTTAACTTTCCATTTCCTTTGTTTGTAAAGCTTTCAATACAGAAACATACAATAAATACCAATTTTACAGCTTTATGTAACATACACAAACATCTCCTTGATCCTTGCAAATTAGACAGAACATCGTGGAAATTGCTAAGCAACGTTTGGTGTGGTGCAGACTCTAGGGATTTGCTGGCTGGCAACATTCCCTTCATCCTGTAATGAACATATTTTGTTCAGTAGTAGCCATATGAGTATGACTAAAGCAAAGAGACCCATTCAGAGATATTTGCATTTTCTTATCTCAGAAAGAAAACTTCAGTGCAAAATTATCAGATAGCATGATAAAACATAGTGAAACATTTTGGGGAGACTGGAAAAGATGTTTCTAGCCCTCTAAATCATACCTCATATGCAAATCTTTCTGCTTTTCAAGAGAGACCTACATTTGTCTCCAGAGAAGAGGATTGGGAAATAAATCTTATTATTAGTCCTAGGAAAATGTAAACTTCTTTTATTTAGCTTTTCCTGATGAAATGTAAACTTTAGGGAATTTTCATATATAAACCATTATCCTTTAAAATATGTGGGGACTTACAAATGCAATATATCTGTTGTTCCTTTGGTCTGTAAAATATTTCAATAAATTATTGAACTCTTGAAGCCATGAAATCAAACAAACTCAATGTATGGTGTCTTTTACTTCTTCAATTTTCATTTTAAAATTCTTGAACACCTATTGTTAACAAATGAAGGACACATTTCCTTATTTCCTTATTATCCTTATCAAAATATTGTTGACAATAGAAAAAAAAATTGTGGCCTATAGTAGGAAGCATAGTCATTAGCACTATGTCCTGGAAATTTTAAAACTTTATTAAAATGCCTAATCTCTACACTATAAAATATATGCAAACAATTTAAGGTTGAAACTAGATAGGATTTATAGAACATATATAGCTATTAACTGATCAATATCTTAATGAAAATTAACTGGACATAAAAATATTCACAATCGTCCTTAAAGAATATGAACTAGGCTTGGCACGGTGGCTCACGCCTGTAATCCCAGCACTTTGGGAAGCCGAGGCATGTGGATTATCTGAGGTCAGGAGTTCAAGACCAGCCTGACCAACCCCATCTCTACTAAAAACAACAAAAATAGAAAAAAAAAATTAGCTGGGCACGGTGGTGGACCAGTAATCACCGGAGCACCGTAATCCCAGCTACTCAGGTGGCTGAGGCAGAAGAATTGCTTGAACCCAGGAGGTAGAGGTTGCAGTGAACCGAGATTGTGCCGCTGCACTCCAGCCTGGGTGTGAAAGAGTGAGACTCCGTACCCCCCCACCAAAAAAAAAAAAAAAAAAAAAAAAAGAATATGAGCTACATTGTATCATATATTTATGTAAAATTTTGAATTGTATATGTATTTATTCACAGCATACTTTTATTTACCACCGTACATTGTACATTATACAAATCTTGATTACATTTACATTATACATTTATAATATTAAAATTTTGCAACTAGTCTTCAAATATCTGACAGCTTTTGAGTCAGTGAATTATTTAAGAAAAAATCTCAGAAGAGTTTTGAAAAAGGAGCAGGTGTGATTCTACAAATTCGATATGAGGCACCAGTGGGAGAAGTCAATTGGATAAACACATGAAATATTAGGAGTGCTTGTGAGGGGGAAGTAACAGGTCTATTGTGTGCAGTGCTGGACAGGCTGCATATGGAGAATGTGTTAAAAGAGCATTTGCAAACATAAGCATTACTCGAAGATATTAAACAGAATGATGGAAGCCTGGCCTTTGATTATTCATTGCTGACATATGCATTGCAGTGATGGCATTAATGCCTAATTATTAAGCTAACATGAATTGACAATGAACAAGTCATGCTTTATAAATAAAAATGTATGTTGTTTGATTTGACTCATTCTTTGTGAACCTATGTGAGCTTCATATTCTTTCTCTCGATGTCCTATTTTTTTGATAGTCCTATTTGTCTATAGTTTGTGAGGTTCACCTTTTTCCTCTTTAGAAAATGGTGATAGCTTCGCTTTTCAACTGACTCCCCTAATGTCCACTTTTCTTCAGAGATTACAGACAATGGTTTTCCAAACCTCCTGATTCTTTTATTGCCTTAGGATCTAATTGAGAGCAGTTGAAAGATTAAAATCCTCTAAAGCAATTAAATTATTTCTAATTATCCCATGACCTGTTTTAAGCTACAATTTTCTCTCAGAGAAACTTACCCTCCATTTTTCTTTTAAAATTACTCCCCATGATAGAGAAAGTAGGAGACAATTGTCTCAAAACTTTACCAACTTCCCAGATAGCAATCTGCTTGTTCCTCTTGATCTATTAAAATACCATTAAAATTTTGGGGTTTACTTTGTTGGTGTCAGTTGATTTTGTGCTTACTATAATAGATTCATTTGACCCTTTCATATTCACTGATATCTACATGTGCAGTTTTTTTTCCTACTACTGTAGTTTCTCTTATTCATTCAACCTCAGTGAGGAATACAAACATGAGTCATGCTCTCAAAGAAGCCTAGAAGTGAGGCTGAGATATGTCAACAGTTTTGTAATACAAGCCAGGAAGAAACGTGATAAAAGGTTCAGGTAGCATGTACTAAGAGTTCAGTAGATAATGTTACTGTAGGTGATTATGTATAAATTAAAAAAAAAGTTCTATAAGGGCTTTATTTAAGCTGGACTTCCAAAGAATCCCCTATCCAAGAAAATGGTTGGGCCTTAATAGGTCTATAAATTACGTGAAATTATATGTAATATTTGGAAAATGTGTATGTGTGTGCAATACATGTAATACTATATATATACACACACACAAAATACTGTGTATATATGTGTGTGATACAATGTATATATTGTGGTAGAGAGAAAAGGGCAGAATAAGACCCCTAGTATTCATCAAATTCTGAAAGACATCCACACAGAGCGGCGTTTGGAGAGTTCTGCAAAAGTATTAAAACAGTATGATTAGAATTACATTCTCATTGCTTCCTAGTGCTCATCAGCACTTTTGCTTCTCAACAATCTAAGCAAGCATGATGAATTTGTCGTTGAATTTCTTGAAACATGCTTTTCCAGAAACTAGAAAACACATCTGATTGTTCCTTACTATTTTGCAGTAAAATATGTTCATTTCCTTCCCAAAACCTTTTCTTCACCTACAAGTTCACTGATAAAAATTAAACCCATAATATTATTCCTTTGTTTCCTTTCACTTTCTTGAAATTGAAACTGTTGTCATTTTAAATCAATAATACAATTATTTTAAAAATAAGAGGCAGAATTAGAATATGGGCACTAGATATCATACTAAAATAACAGAATACTTAACATTTATTTTTTAAAATTGTATGGGGATTGATGGGAAACTGAATTCATATACTGAGAAGAGCTACAGAGAATAAAAAGAATACATTAATATGTGTATTTAGAAAGCAGAGGGAATAGTAACATAAAAAAGTAGTTTAAAACATAAAAGTAAGAGATAAGTAGTGTTTCATAGAGTTTTCCATAAGGATAAGTGCATGAAAAATGGCAAGATTGTTTTAAAAGATTTAGAATTCACAAACTAGAAAGTGACAGAAATTGAACTACTCACTAACATTTAAAAGCGGGGGGTGGGGGGGGGATAGATCCAGCTACTTGATGGCATTAAATCAAAGTACTTGAATTTTTGAAGTCTATTTAAAAATCTAGTAAGGAATGCCTATAATTACAAAAGGTATGAGATTGTCTTTTTGAGTTTAGTAGAATATAAACTGATGATAAAAGACTGACAGGCACCAAATAAGTAGAGTGCAAAACAACAACAACAAAAAAGAAAGATAAATTCATGTAATTATATTCAAGCAGTATCACTGCATAAGATTGCATAAGAAAGAATATATTTCCAAATCCCAAACAATACGATCCTGTTGTATTATAAGCATATATTGAATACAATAACAAAAGTATCAAGGGTTCTTGTTAAAGTACCCGTTATCATGTACGTAAAATATTGCAAAACTTTAAAGTCACAGAACAAAACATTATTTTTTTTCCTGTTATCTTTTTTGAGATGATCAAATTTCTTCACACTTTGTGAACTGCAGAGTTAAGATGGAGCAATGATTTGAACTATTTGCAACTGCGGTTCCTTCTCCACTCTTTATATATTGTTTGGGCCATGAATCTATGCAAAGAGATGCTTTACAAGAACGTAAGTCACATCATTCAGGACTTTCTAACAACCAAAATGATCTAATATGCTTAGATTTAAGTGGTCAGATTTTGCCTCTTCCTTCCTTTCCTCTCAATGTTCCCAGATCATTTGCAGAGAGATAGGTAACTAATTGACAGTGTTGTTTGAGAGTAAATTCCTGAGTTACATAGAAGTTGGACCAATTATTCCTTCATAAAACTAAAACAAGTTCTAAAATAGTTGTATGAAATGCAGAAGCACAATCAATGAACATTATTCTTGACTGAAATGAAACAGCCCTGGTGCTTTCATGCAAACTTAACTGCTATAAACCTAAAAGATGCAATCACCAAAAGATGTGAAGTCTTGAGATAAAGATTAGCACTATAAATGTCATTTGATATCAGATAAAATACACATTTCTGTACATGTGATTTGAAGAGTCCAAGCCCCTAAAACTTCTCACTAACCCCAAGATGCCTGAATTTCTCAACATTACATTTTCACATTGTAATACAGTTTTCTTTCCTGGTCTTTCCTCTTTTCTCTGCCTAGTAAAGGATGTTATAACATTGCAGTTCAATGTTTTTCCTCTTCTTCTATTTTCCACTCTGCTGGTTATGGCCAACGAGTCAAGGTTGAAAGTGTCCCCATATATATCTCTGCAGCTCGAACTCTCCAGAACTTGGGCTTGTATTTCCAGTTACTGGACTTAAGCTGGACACACTCACAGTGTCCCTGGACTGGGCCAGGAATGCTGAAAACCACTGCACAAACATGAAAAATTATTCTGTAATTTAGACAAAGTTTGGAGAGAGAGTCACATTTTATCATAGTATAAATACAAACCTGCAGAAGAGCAGAATCCAGGACTGGGCCAGGAAAGCTGGAAACCACTGAATAAACAGGAAAAATCATTCTGCAATTTAGGCAAAGTTTGGAAAGAGAGTCACATTTTATAATAGTACAAATACAAACCTACAAAAGGGTAGAATTTAAAATCCACATGAATTTGCAGATGAAAACTAGAGACAAAATAAAGCTACTTTTGTGGGGTTGAGTATGTCATTGTTAGAGACAGTGGCAGAGAAGTCTAAGAAACTCCATACTGTGCTAAATAAATCCACCTTTTAAGTGTGGATTCATTTTTTTTTTTTTTGTGGGCTTTTGTTTTATTTTACATTCAAGGGGTATAATTGCAGATTGGGTTAACATTTTTGTGTGAATATTGAAACAGTTGTGAAAATAAGTTTATTAATAGGAATGATCACAGACGAACTATGAAATAGATCGAGTTTGTGTCTCACCATGTCATCACTATCTCTCAAGTCTGCATAGACCCAGTGTTTATGCAGAGCTGTCCCCAGCTCTTGAAGACACTGGTTTCTTAACCTCAGTTTCATGGATAAGTATATTTTGTCTTTTCTTCATTGATATGTGCTCTCCTGCATTCTGTTATTGTAAGACATTACTATGAGTGTAAAGAGATAATCGTTTAATACTATCAGTAAGAATTCATATATATATTTTTATAGAAAGAAAATATGTGTGTATATATATATATATATATATATTCTTTCTTTTTTTTTTTTCTTTTTTTTTTCTTTTTTTTAGACAGAGTCTCCCTTTGTCACCAGGCTGGATTGCAGTGGTGAGATCTCAGCTGACCACAACCTCTGCCTCCCAGGTTCAAGCGATTCTCCTGCCTTAACCAAGAATTCATATTAAAGCAGTGGTCATTTAATGAAATTTTGGACACCCTCACTTTAGACACATCTGCTATCAGGCAAAATTCTACTGAGCTTTTACACTGTGTCAGACAATGTGCCAGACACTAAGAATGCAAATAAAACATAGAACCTGGAAAGTTGTGTTTCTGCAAAGGATACATGGAGACATAAATAAAAGCTGTGTTGGTAACAGAAATGAGAATCATAAAATGCTTCCAAGAAAGAAAGTGGGCCCAGAGGTATTTCTTTGAGGGTGAGCAGGCAGGGAAAGGGTTGCATTTCGGGCAAACACAAACCATGAAATGGCCTAGTGAGCCAAGGAAAGTAAGGCGTTCAGCTTTGGAAGAAGTAAAGGGTTGAAAGGAGAAGTGAAGACACAGGCCTGAGCCTTAGGTAGGACACCTGGGTCAGCTGTCCCAGTCCCCAGACATGGTGGGAGATTGGCTCAAGCCACTGTACCTTACTGTCCTTATCTGAACATAATTACATTTCAATGTTGAAATTCCTGTTTTAATTATATTCCAAGGAACCTAGAATAGATGGCATAAAGGGGCCTCCTTTCATTTGTGTTAATCTTGGAGAACCCACATTAGCTTTGTTGCCCTGGATTCCAGTCTCAGAGTACATGCAGAAATATGGCTGAACAGTTAAAAAGTGTGGGAAGGAGGATCCAAGGAGGATAAGGAGTTTGGACTTTGCTGTGTATTTATTGGGCGGCACTGGGCGGTTTTAAACACAGAAAAAAGGAGAGGTTTCAGAAAGGTCTCTTGCATCACAATAGAGATTTTTGAGATAAAAGGGAGAAAGAAAAACAAACACAATAATCGTGGAGTACTGATATTGACAGACTGGACTCAGAAACAGTGTGGATAAGACACTGTATGCCCTACAGTACTGTAGTCAGCAAAATAATGGTCCCTCTAAAAAAGGTACCACAACTCTACCTCCTATTGGTAGTGTGATTTGCGGCAATTTAAAAGCCCTGATCCTCAGTTTCCTCATCTGTAAAAGAAAAAAAAAAAAAAAAAAAGAAACAAAGAAAGAATAGCAATGTCTTAAGTCAGGATCCCCAGGATCAAACTCTGAGATGAAGATTGTTTCTGCAAGTGATTTATTATAGAAATGCTATCGGGAAAAACTAATCATGTACCACAGTAAGCAAGATAGGGAAGGAGGTTTCAGGCAAAATCCTAACATCAATATAATTCTACAGGGGAGTCTCAGAGTGTAAATTACACCTCAGGTTTTCTTGCTACTAGAGGCAAGAGGGCTGGTCTTTTATACTCTATAGGAAAGTCCTTGGCAAAGGGCATCTTGGGAAAGAAGTAAACTTGCAGGTGGTTTTGTCTGGCTCTCTGAGTCAGTAGACAAAGTGGGTCTAGTAGTGTTTGGGCATTCCTCCAAAGAGAGTCTCGGGGAAGCCTGCAAGAAGCAAAAGAATGCAGAAGCTAGAGGAAGGATACTCAGTTCAACCAAAGGGATCCTAGGAGATTTGGGTGGAGACCATGTCTGCCACAAGCATCTATCCCATAGAACTCTTCTAAGAACTGAATGCATTCATATCTTTCTTTCTTTGGCTTTTAGGATTCCTAAACTATTTTTCTTCTGGAATAGTATGCAATATTTAGCGTTCTGCTCTACACTTGGAGTGCTTAGTGATGAAATAATTTTTTCTTGACATAGCATAAAATCCAAAAAGGGTAAATAAAGTGAATGTGAGGAATACCAAAATAGAGAGAAAAAATATAGTCTGATCCCAATTTCTGACTCCAAGGATAGTGCTTTCCTCAGGGTTCAACTTTTATCAATCAAGATCCAGTCAAAGCGTGTTAACTATTAGGAGAGGAAAAAAGCCCACTAAAGAACACAGCAATAGTGATTGTTGGGAATAGTCACTATCTGTCAGGCTACAGGAGAGTACCCAAAGAGAGAATAACTAAGAAGAACTTCCCCCTACCCACCCGCCACCCTACTAAGCCTGAGAGTAGGACCTCATTGGAAATAATATGGCTGTGGTCCACTTAATGATCCAGAAATTTAAGGTGTCACACACTGGGCTGCTGAGGAAACCATCAGCTGTGTTTTCAGTAAAACTTGCTAGGAAGCCATTCCACTGACATGCCAGCAGCACTCCATAGAAAGACACACACTAGGGAACTGGCCAAATTTACTGAAGATTATGTAACATGGCCTTCCTGCACACCACTGGTCAGAAAGTCACTCACTGGCCACCACACCGTAGGAGCAAGCAGGAAAGCACTGGAACCAAGAAAAGGAGCCCCTTTCTTTCTGCAGTGTTTCCTTAGCACCTTCTATTGACAAACCTAAACATTGTGCCAACTGACCATAAAGACGTTTACAGATTTCAACTCTAATGTCACAATTTAGGGCAAAGAAGGGTGGCTGTGAAGTTGAAGAGTGCTAAATTAACTGGCACACACCCCAGTGACACTTCTGGGATTTGGGGGATGGGAGAAGCATGCTGTTATGCCCAAATCCTGCTCCATTTGTTTACTTTTTTCCTAATTGCCCCCTGAAAGAAAGTGCAGGCCCAATCTTTTGGGACACTACATACTGAGAGCTGGTATGACACATGGTAAGTGAACAGAGAGTTCAATTCAGTAACTGAGACAAAGTCTAGAGCTGAACCACTTGGGTCTGAATGTTACCTTCACCATTAACTAGATTTGTAGCCTTGCAAAAGTTCATCCTTGTATACCTCAGTTTCCTTACCTGTAAAAGGAGATAACAGTACCTACTTTATCAAAATGTCAGGAGAAATGAAGTATTATGTGTAAAGCCTATAGAACAACATCTAGCATGTAGTTAGAACCTAATAAATATTAGTATCTTCCATGAATGGTAGCTTGCCATTTGGTTTTACAATATAAATATTCGGTTCTCATAATGAGTTTCTATTTAGAACTATGCCTCATAATGCTAACACTCAACTTCTCTGGGTGAGATTAGGCTTTGCTATCAAGTCTTGCCTACTCCTGGGCATTGCTTGCAGATCTGGCTTCAGATCCTGGCACTGCCCCTGGCTTACTGAATAAGCTTCACTAGTGCAGCCAACTTATGGAGGATCTGTTTTCTCAAGTGAAAAAAGACACAAGGTTAAACAAATCATCTTTAAGATCTCTTCCAGTTCTGACTACATTTGATCCCCCTCATCCCCAAGTAGTAAGTTATACCTGAGGGAAAGAGGAAGGGAATTATCATTTCGGACGCCTACTCACCTGTGCCAGGAGAGCACTGCTGTGCCTGCTTTCCCTGATTTCATTCTCATCACAGTCTTAACAGATTAGTATTTTTAAAGTCCATTTAACAACTAAGAAAGCTGAGGCTCAGGAAAGTCAGTTTACTCAAGATCACATTCTCAGTAAGCAGTAGAGTTTGGATTGAAACCTGGTGTTTCTGTTTGTGTCGACTCAACATTTTTAACTGTACTGTTTGCCTCCGACATCACCTTCATCTCAGACATTAAGAATCCTACCTGTTCAGTGCTTTTCATCCTCTGCCTTAAAGAGATAAGTGGGTGTGCAACTTTTTTTTTGTCTGAAACATATCATTTAAAAGTTAAGCAAATGAAATTCATTTACCAGTTACAGGAATTAAAAAAAAAAATCACTGTTAATGTCTCACAGAAAATAGCTCTCCTGTGGAAATCAGCAGCCTCCCTGCATCCTTTTTTGCCCCTATCCTCCCCTCTCCTGGATGCAAACCTGGCGAAAAGAAGGGAACACTGGTTGGGGTCAGCGAGCTGAGTTCCAGCTCCGACTGTGCCATTTTCACTCTCGGGAGCCTTCTCCCCTTTCTCTGTGACTAAAGGAGTGTTGGGCCAGATCGTCTTAAGGTTTCTTCCCCAGGTACAAGCCGACTCTGGTGGCTTTCATGGGCAGGGGAGCGCCTCTGCCTTCTCTCGGCCGCAGGTCCCTAGTTAAATTGTCCATTTTCTCTGCGGAGGCTGCTCATTGCATCCGTTACCTCCACCCCTAGCCCTGTAGACCCTTTCTGTTTCCCCTGCTTGGGAAAAGCGAAGCCCCTTACCCTTGGATAGCCTTTCACTAGACTACCGCAACCCTCCGCGAAATTCCCCTACTGGCGGGACGCGCGGGAGGGGGCCTGCCCGGGGGAACGCGAGGCTGCTTCCCCTCTGCGCAATCAGGGTACGCAGCCTCCAGTTCTCTAACTTTCTCCTTCTCTAAGAGGGAATTTCGAGAACTTTGAGACAAATAAGTGACTGTATAGAGGAAGACATGAAACCTCTCTACACAGTGAACTCCCCCAGGCCACAAGTCTCCCAGGGCTCCCAGGCCTTCTCCCGCAATGCCCCGCCGGGTCCCCCGCCCCAGTTCCTTCTCACGGCAGGATCCCACGCCAGGAGGCTCGCAGAGCCCAAGATGTGGCACCAGGAGCGCCAAAGTCCAGGTCCCGCTAGTTCTGCTCCATAGGAGCCCAGGTCGGAGGAAGTCAGCGCGTCCTCCTCGCACAGCAGCCTGGCGCGCGGCTCGGCGGCACAGAGGCTGAAGAAAGGTCCGCACTGGCTCGAGGCCCTTCCTGCCGGCCTCCCCACGCCGGGCCTCGGCTCCCCTCCTTCCCGGCTCCCGCCTCCTCCCGTAGGCTGCCAGGCGGACCCAGCCTGCCTCTCTCTCTGCCTTCACTACCGGGTCAAGCTGCGGAGGGAGGGAGGGAGGCAGCGGCGAAGCCCTCCCTGGCTCCCCACCCGGCGCGCGCGCCCCTCCTCCCCTGCCTCCTCCCCTATGCCAGTACAGTACAACTAGTACACACACACACACACGCACACGCACCCTGCCACTGCAGCTGCCATGGATATCAGCTAACAACACACACCCAGGCGCGCGCGCGCGTTCCCACTCGCACCACGCAGGAGTGGCCCCCGGCATCCCTACCCTCCTTCCCCACCCCCACCGCACCCGCTCACCAGCTCGGTTACTGCTAGCTCCCGCTGCCGCCGCCGCCGCCGCCGACGCCACCACCACCGCTTCCTCTGCTGCGGGGCCACAGCCTTGAGTGTCATTCAAGGGACAGCACAACCTCACCCAAGCTCTCCTACCTCTGCCCAGCCGTCCCTCTCATCCTCCCCCTTCCTCGTCCACACTCCATCCAAAGAAGAGGGAAAGCACCGAATAGAGGGGGGAGAAGGCAAAGTCTGCTGTTCTTCCCCCTGGGCCCCCTTGCTCCTCCATCCTCATTCTCTCACCACCAACCCCCCTAACCCCAAGGAGCCCCAGGAACTGAGGCGACTCACCCCACTGCCATGTCCAAAAGCTTGAAAAAGAAAAGCCACTGGACTAGCAAAGTCCATGAGAGTGTCATTGGCAGGAACCCGGAGGGCCAGCTGGGCTTTGAACTGAAGGGGGGCGCCGAGAATGGACAGTTCCCCTACCTGGGGGAGGTGAAGCCCGGAAAGGTGGCCTATGAGAGCGGCAGCAAGTTGGTGTCGGAGGATCTGCTGCTGGAGGTGAACGAGACCCCCGTGGCGGGGCTCACCATCAGGGACGTGCTGGCCGTGATCAAACACTGCAAGGACCCCCTCCGGCTCAAGTGTGTCAAGCAAGGTGAGCGCAGCGGCTTGCTCAGTGTTTTGCCGGGCGGTGGGACCGCTCGGGGCGCAGGGCAATGAAAGGGTGGGCGCGCATGTTGAAAGGGGTGTGTTGCGCGATGATGGGGTAGGGGCCAGAGGGGACCCGCAGTGCAAGTGAGTTTCGCCGGGGATTCCACTTGGGGGCTAAAGGGAGGGGAGGGGCAGGTTGCGGTGTGGCGTGCAACTTTGTTTGCTCAGTTAGACCCTCCCCTTTGGAAGGTGCTCGGCCTGGTCTGACCTCCTCAGAGATCCTGGGGCAAATTGAATGTGCGTCAGTGGCATCACCCTAAGTGGATGAAGAGCTTTTGGGGAATGAAGGAAGGAAAGAAAGAAACAAGGAAAGGGAGGAAGGGAGAGAAAGAAGGAAGGAGCAACTTTAGGGTGCAGCGGCATCACCAGCGGGTCTGGGAAGAGAGGGTGGTGGGGTGAGCGGAGAACTGCGTCCAGCGTTTCTGGGGCTGGGCTGGAGACGCCTGGGTTCCCAGCTGTCCCTTAGGGATCCGTGAGCCACTGCTGGCGAGGAAGGGAAGAGACAAATTGCTTTGGGCGATTTGACGGGTCTTCTGTAACTTTTCCCCTTCTTCGCTCCGCTGTCCCCCTCCCCCGCCCACGGTCTTGTCATGTGGGCATCGCACGTCACGTGCGCACTGACTAACCCCTGCGCTCACCCCTAGCCAGCCCAGCGGAGGAGGCTCCGGAAGAAGGCGCGGTGCTAGGAGCGCGGTCTAGTGCTGGGCGGGGGTCGGAGGAGATGAATGGTTGTAGGCAGGACTTTACTCAGAGGTTGCCCTCATAGAGTGGAAGTTCTCTGTGGTTGGGCTCTCCTCTGGCTCCGATTTGGGGGGCGTGTTTTGGAGGAGGAGCTGGATGAAACCCTTGCTGGTTCCAGCCCAGGCTCCCTCAGCTCCAACCTGACTTTAAAGAACCTCGATTGGAGGCTGTGATGTAGATTTGGAGAGACTGGAATCATCCAGAACTCTCTGTCTTTGCTTGAAAGAAAATTATGGTGCAGAAGGAGAGAAGAGTGAGATAAAAGTTTGAATAGAGGACAACTTTAAGTAGAATAAAGTAGTAGCTTTTTTTTTTTTTCCTCACTGCACAATTCATGTGCGGTATGTATGGATATTTGTGGCACAGGCATATCAGCCTAAGGGTTTGTTGTTGTTGTTGTCGTCGATGTTACACTGTTTGTCCTTACTCAAAGGTGGAATTGAGCATGTCATTACCTGCATTTTGCCACTTAATCGTGATCAACTACCAAGAAACGCTCTTACGGAGATGTACTGCACTGTAAAATTATTCTCTAAAAAACTTGTTTTAAAGTAAACAAGAGAAAAAGGAGTCTTGGACAAAATTTCTCAAATGTAAATTGCCATACAAGAAAATGTTTTTCTTGGGGATTCTTGAGTATTAAGAGTATTAATTAATTGAGATAGCTATTATAAGTCAACGTAGCTCCATACTATACAACACTGAAGGGATATGAGTTTGGTAGAAAAGAAAATAGAGTATCTTGATATTTTTGAAGATAAGATACCTAAGGTTCAAATACAAAGCTTCATGTTAACATGTTCGACGTGAAAATAATACCTTATAGGAATAGATATAAATGTTAAGATCTTTGGGTACAAAAAGTCCACTACGCAACTAATGAGCATCGTTTTGTTGGCCAAATGCTTGGTATTTGTCGTGGAACATGGCTGCAAAAGTTAAGTGTTATTAAATTGGACTTAATAGAGTCCTACAAAGGGATGCCCTATTATAGTTTGCAATGATCACCACATCTTAAATGTTGTGTTCAATTCTGAGCACGCCTGGTTGAGGAGGATGTTGGCAAACTCACATTAGCAAAGAGTAAATTCAAAAGAGAAAGAAAGATTATTGTGTATTATAGATGTATTCTGTGAAACGCAGTGGACTTAACTTGGAGAAGTGAGAATAAAAGCTATCATTAAATAGCGAAAAGCTATCAGGTAAGAAAAGGAATTCTGACTATCCTGTGATAGCCCACAGGACAAAATGGTGATAAATCTATGAGAAATTTTAAAGGATGAAGCCGCTTTACTTTGATTAAATCATGAGCTTTCTAACAGAGTTTTCCAACAATTTGTGAGCACCCTGTGATGAAGTTCCCATCATTGTGGGTATCCATGAAGAAGCTGAAATGATCATATGCCACGGATTCCTATATAAGATGAGGACCTGGATTCGATATTATTTGAATCCTGCCATAATTCGATCTAATGTGGTCTGTGATCACTCTTGTATTGAATTTTATGTGGAAGATTATTGCTTTTAAAACTAGAATATATGCTTATAAAGTGATATATTGAGGAGAAACTCTCTTTTCATTCTATATTAACCCTATTTCGTGCTTCACTGGTTCATTGATGATAAATTTGTATAATGATATTCACAGAAACCCATAGGAACCCGATTCATCTCCTGAATCACTATTGACAAAAAACAAAACAAAAAAAAGTTCCTTTTACCTTGTGTGGACTAAGTAATTCTCTTGTACTTTCTTTTAAATATGATTCGTATTGCTATTCTAATCTTTTCCTTGTTAAATCATAGATTAATTTTATTTATGATTATAAAATGAAAATTTCAGAAGCTTTACTATAGTGCCTGTGTGTCTTAGGTTTCAATACAGATGTCTTTTACTGGAAAATCATTTAGAAATTCTTGGCCCAGTAGTTATATTTTGAGAGAGGCAAAAAACTAGCATAGCTGAAAAACTTAACCATGTTTGTTTAGCAGTTGCATTTTTAAAACATTAATGAGATTGATTTTTGAATATTCATTCCAACATTGGGTATTATACAGAAACTACATGCATATCATAGTTTAAGGAAGATTTTATAAAGAAAAGATAATATTTGAATAATAAGAATATTGTTACTAAGTGCACCAGGTAAAATTGCATTATTTACTCAATTTTTATTCACTTGTTTGCCTAATTTTACATTACAGTTATCATAATTTTAATCTGTCATAATTTTAAAAGGAGGTGAGTTGTTGGGATTTTAAGACATATTACATAGTATATATATATATCATAGTGTTTCTACACTGTTTAAATACCTGCAAAACAATTTTTAAAACTGTTTAATTAAATTCAAGGAATTCTCTTTTTAATTTAAGCTTTCTGCTTTTAATCCACACAGTAATAAACCACATATTAAAATATGGCTTATTGTCACACCCAATTACTTTTTATGAATGATGGCATTTTATTTATAATAATAAACTTTCTGCACCAAAGGATGTAATGCTAAATTAGCAGTAATTCTATGATCTCATTAATGCATCAGACCCAGTTGAAGAAAGTTTTTTGAGTGATGTTGAGATCTATATGGAAGTGCTAAAGGTCTTCTTTCCTTTTTCTTTTCCCTTTTTTAAGGTTTGCCACTAAAGTTCACAGCAGCCAGTTACACAGGCCTTTGTGTCCTACATTCCTTGCACTATGGCTGCTAATGCCTGTAATACCGCATAAAGACCTACATAACCTGGACTTATTTTCCCATTTAGGATCTCACAATGGGAAATAAAAGGCAAAAAAAAAAAAAAAAAAAAAAAAAAAAATTCTAATTCTTCCCATGTGGAAGATGGGCCAAATAAATCCTTTGAAATTCAGTTTTAGAGAAGATCTACATTGCTCTCCCTCCTACTGCTCCTTTCAAAGATACCTTCAAAGGAAAGTAGATCCACATTTATTAAGAGTCATACTTTCTTCTTGACTGACTTCAGGCTAAAATAATAGAGTCAAATCTCTATACTTCTTTGTATTTGAAAAGGTAAAAACAAATTATGTCAAATTTTCTGTAAAGATTGACTTTTTTCCATAAAAATGTGAGATATATGAATAGTATTGTTTAATAAACAATAACATTGTTTAAACATTTTGATGAGTTTATTATTTTACAAATAAAGTACCATTAATGTTTTTAACAAGGTTAATGAGACAGTTCTCTTGGAGCATAATTTATAAGTGATATCAATGTAGTTTTTTGGTAGGTGTAGATAACTTAAATGGTATGACCTCAAATGTTAAATATGATTATTTGCTTTTTATCTGTACTATCTCTGTTCTTGACATTTGAACTGTTTAATCTTTTGGCACGTTTATTATGCTCACTTTCCTTTTCATTGCTTGTAA